GTCAATGTGAAAAAGATCAGACGGTATATAAATGATATATATAATGTAGATCTTTTCCTGTTTTGTAATTTTTCTTATTTCCTAATAAAGTAATATTTTGACTTCGTAAAAAAAAAAAAAAAAAAAAATGTATAAATAACAATAGTTTAAGGTCAATTGCGGATCGCAGTCATATTAAATTAATTCATTTCGGACCGCAGTAGATTTAAAAATAACGCCAACACCCGAAAAAATTCCGCACAGGGCCGCATTACGTGCATTATGCACGAGCACGTGAAAATAATCAGTAAATAAATGATACCTGGTATATACCGAATATGTACCATATGTGTATATATGTTATATATATTTTTTAGGGTATATACCATGTTATAAACAAGAGTTCATGTTTCAAAGGGGAGTTATAACTATAAAATGTAAAATATATGAAATGTGATTTATTTGAACTTGTTCATTTCTAATAAAATCATGACATTTGAATTTATAATGAATATTTTTTAACCATAATTGAGTTAATTATACAAATTTTTTAGTATCTTAATTTTATCATACCTTCAGAATTGTTACTTTTTGTGCAGTGAAAGGAGATGTTTTATATATGAAAAGTTCTATATAAAATTTACAAACACTATTTTATATAATTTTAAGGACCAAACATGGATTTTATGTAAATGTGTAAAATATGTCTATGTAGATTTTTTAATTAAAATTCAAACATATTTCATATAGTTTTAAATAAGATAAATTCAGTTTACTTTAAAATATTGTATAAATACATTTACATTTTCTATAGTTAAACTGTTTTAAACGAAATGCTGATTGTATCTTTTCTTTAGGGTCTTTAATTTTTCAATTGATGCAGATCATGCAAAATATTAAATCATTTTTTTTAATCATGACTTTTTAAAATACCTATTATTATAAATAATTTTTAAAAAGTTTAAGAAAAGGATGGTTATGTCATGTTATTGCAGGCTATTCAATATTCATGTTTTGTGCTAGTTTAGATAGATTTGGATTGAAATACATTAGTTTGTAAATTTCATGTTTTAATATAAAATATGTTAGATAGTTTTTATTTTAAAATTAAATAAAATATACAAGTATTTTTAAACCTATCACAATACAAATCCATGTGAAAATTTTATGTACTTAAATAATTAGTGTATAAAATATTTACATAATATTTAGTTACTGTAACTTTAATATAAATTGTAATTCCATAATTTTATATTTAAATAAAAATAAATAAGAATATATATGTATTCAAATTTATTTTCCGATTTTTTTTTCAAACTTTCCATTTTCGAGTTGGATTTTTTCTAAAACCGAAAATTTTTTTTTTTTCAAATAATCTTGATTTTTTCTTTTTTTCGATTTTAAACCGATCTTCTAAATTATTTTTTTTTTTTTGATATCATATTTTTCTAATAATTTTTATTATTTAATTCGATACAGTATAATTTTCTATTATCGTTATATAAGTATAAGTATATTATATTATTTTTTATACTTGAATCTAGACAGTAAAACGCCTTTTTTTTCTGATTCTTATTTTTAATAATTTTTTTTTTTTTTTTGCTTAACTTTTTGTAATACAACAAACAGTTTTCGTATGATTTTTTTTTTTATTTAAAATTAAATAACACTTCAAACACTAATATAAAAAAATCCATTCTATCAGGGATTTCAATTATTGTGAATTTCATCTATATTAAAAAATATAAAATAAATTGCAACCATTAGATAATTATAATGAATACCATCGATATCAAAATATTCTTATAAATAATAAAGTTAGGTGTTACACAAGTTGCTTTTGTCATGATTTTTTAAAAAAATCACGTGAGAATCATACCACAGTAATATTTGTACGAAATCGGATGGTATTCTTCTTCTGTTATTTTATATAATGATAATATTTACCAAAGAAGATGGCTTGTCTCGAATTTTAATTATTTTTTACGTTAAAATATAAGTTTACATGAGAGGAATACATGCAAGAGAAATGTCCTACAATGATGGACTGTACGACAGAAAATCTTTACGCTTATTTGCATTTCTATTTCTATAATTTATTATTCAGAACGAGATAAAATACAATGTGCCTTTGTAATGGAGCAGAAGAAGAGGAACAGGTTCTACTGATGTTCGGAAGGGGAGCCGAACAATAACTCAAATAGAAACCACGGATGAAGAGTCGCTTCGTAATGTAAACAACTCCTCTCCCAATTTTAGGCCTAGAAATGATTCCCCATTCAGACGGAGCCCTAAGGATGAATTTTTTTGCATTACTGACGTTTGTATTATTATATCTAGATACGACTTATGTTAATGAAATAGCAAGTCAAATACTTTATATTATTACCTAGTTTAAGGGTTTTGTGGCAAAGGAATAAAAAGTAGTTATATTGGCGACAGTTGTAGAATTTTTTTTTTTGAATGATCATGAAATAGTAAGAATTACGGGTATATGGTTAATGACCAGTGGTTACTTCGTTGAGGTTGCCGAAGAGTGGTTTCGCAAAAAAATTATAAAGAAAATAGCATTTCATTTATTTATTTTTATTAATAAGCATTTTTTTTACGAAGGAGTATATTATTATGTGTTCGGTTTAAGTTATATTTATTTGTTGCTTAGCTAAAGTATTACGAGGAAAGGGAGAGAGGAAATACTTTAAAGAAATAGGTTATCAAAGAAATTGTTGTTGAGGGAAACCATTTATTAAAGTTGTTCTTTAGGAATACAAATCAATCACTGGCTTGTATTCGGTGGACCACTTAAATATTAAAACATCATCATGACGTAAAGAATATCCCGAATAGCTTGAGAATTACTAACTCGTGCGTGCCCATATCTATACAATAATAAAATGTTGACGTCATTATATATTCTTACGTTCGACCTATAAGACTGCTGATAGAAGATCTATTGTTACTCCAGTCCAGATGATTTTGAAAATTTGGAAATTCATCCATCACATAATAAATTGTGGAATTTATATCTAAAAAATTATTTTCACATCTTGGGAAAAATTAATCCAAATCTCGAAACAATTCTCAAGCGTGCAGCACCTCCAACTTATCCCCAAATCCGAGAATTGGTTCTTAAATATTTTATTGATAATTTTAAAAGGTATTCTAAGCATTATAATCCAGAAACAGTCGATATTGCATTTTTACCTTGCTCAAATTCAAATGGTTATGCAAGACCTTCGGATTGCTTTATTAATGATGAATGTACGATAATGAATTTACAAACTATACGTGAGGATTTACGTTCTAAAGCAGAAAAATTAGGTGTCCGACAAATTCCTGATTATAAAAAACTCAAAGAGAAATTAATTGAGAATCCACCACAAAATAAAAATGAGGCAAAAAAAATATTTGAATACTTGAATAGATTTAATTATAATTGGAGTTCACTTATCAATATTCAGTTTATTCCGATTCAAGATGAAAGTAAGATCAATAACAAATACTTCAAACCATGTGACTGTTTCTTTAAACTTAAAGAAGAAAGGTGTGTATTTGTTAATTCAAATATTTTTAACAAAAGTTACGTTTTTTTTTAAAAAATAATATATATATATTTCTTTTTTTTTTTTAGCCTAAATGAATTCTTTCTATGCGTTGATTTTGGTACAAAGGCCAATAAATTCTTGGCCAAATGTGGCGTTAGAGATCCATCTTTATATGATTTTGCCGAAATATCAGTTGATCCATCACATAGTAAATTGTGGAAGTTACATTTAGATAACTATTTGAAAATTTTAACAAAAATCAATCCCAACCTTGAAACAATTCTCAACCTGGCAGCAAATCCAATTTATCCTAAAACCCGGGAGATGTCTCTCAAATACTTTGTTGATAATTTTTATATTAAATATTCAAAGTTTTATAAACCAGAAGAAATCGATGTTGCATTTTTACCTTGCTCAAATTCTAATTCTTATGCAAAGCATTCGGAATGTTTTATTAATGATGAATGTAAGATAATGGGATTCAAAATTATACGTGAAGATTTACGTTCTAAAGCAGGAGATTTTGGTGTTCGTCAAAATCCTAATCGTGTAGAACTCATAAATGGGTTAACTGAGAACCCACCAAAAAATTTAAATGTGGCAAAAGAAGTTTTTGATTATTTGTATACACAACAAGAAAGTTTTACTGATTCTGATTGGAAGAAGCTTAAAGATTTCGAATTTATTCCAATTCAACCTAACGAACTCTTTAAACCACGTGACTGCTTTCTTAAACTCAAAGAAGAAAGGTATGTACTTTTTGAATACAAATATTTTTAATGAATATCTTTTTTTTTTAATAGAAAAATATTTTTTTTTTTTTTAGTTTGAATAATTTCTTTCCATGTGTTGATTTTGGTACAAAGGCCAATGAATTTTTAGCCAAATGTGGTGTTAAAAAACCATCCTCGTATGATTTTTCCAAAATATCAGTTGATCCATCACATAAATTATGGAATTTATATTTAGAAAATTATTTGAAAATTTTAGCAAAAATTAATCCCAACCTTGAAACAATTCTCAACCTGGCAGCAAGATCAAATTATCCTAAAATTCGGGAGTTAGCTTTCAAATATTTTGTTGATAATTCTATAGTAAATATTCAAAGTTTTATAAACCAGAAGAAATCGATGTTGAATTTTTACCTTGCTCAAATTCTAATTCTTATGCAAAGCATTCGGAATGCTTTATTAATGATGAATGTAAGATAATGGGATTCAAAATTATACGTGAAGATTTACGTTCTAAAGCAGGAGATTTTGGTGTCCGTCAAAATCCTAATCGTGAAAAACTTATAAAAATGTTAATTGAGAACCCACCAAAAAATAAAAATAAAGCCAAAGAAGTTTTTGAATATTTGAATACACAACAAGAAAGTTTTACTGATTTTGATTGGAAGAAGCTTAAAGATAATGAATTTATTCCAATTAATTATGAAAGTCAATCTAACAAAAATATTAATGAACTTGATGACCTTTTCAAACCACGTGATTGTTACTTTAAATTTAAAGATAAAAGGCAAGTACCTTAATATATTTTTCACCTAATTATATATATTAATTTTATTCATCTACTTATTTATTTTATTTTTAGATTGAATGATTTCCTTCCATGCGTTGATTTCGGAACAAATGCTAATAAAATTTTTGGCTAAATGTGGTGTTAATTACGATTTATTATCAAAAGATATTCACCGATTGCTGTTTAAATCATCACATGAATTGTGGAATTTATGTAAAAAAATGATACAAAAAAATATTTGCATATTTTGGAAAAAATTAATGATATTAATAATAAGTTTCCAGAAAAAAAATTAAACAAAGATGATGTTCTAATTGCTATTAAAACTGATAGTAAAGGAAATGACTTTTATTTTTTGGCAACAGTAAAAGAAATTTACATAAATGATGATAAAGTATATCATAAATTTTTAATCCATTTACACCTCCTAAAAACTTGCGAGATTTTTATAAGGTATGTGTGTTTAAATTATTTAATCTTTTATTTTTTTTTTATTTTTTTTAATTTTTTATTCATTTTTTTACCTTTTTTTTTAGAAACTTGGATGTAAATCGTTGCATGAATCTGTGACAAAATCCGTGGTTCCATATGGTCCTATTCAAAAAACAAAGTATTCACGACAATTACAAAGAATAATTAGAGAACGAGCGAGCTTATTCTACTTAGATCATTCTGAAGAATACATTAGAAAAGATGAAAAATGGCTTAAAAAGCTAAAAGTTAGAGAGATCGAATATATGGAAACGAGTTATAAGTTAGGATCCATTACAAAGAACGAAAGAAATGATATTACTACCAATATTTCTCAAAAAAACACGATTTCATGGATTCTTTATGTGACACCTAATTCTAATCTAATTGATATTTCACAACAATTAGTCAATCATATTTTTACATCACATTATCAGAATACTTCTTATTTTAACAATTTTAACAGCACCTTTATCAAACTTAAAAAATATGGGAATAATTCACCCAAAATTACAAAATGATCAGCGCACATCAAATACATTTCCATCACAACATAATGATGTAGATATTTCTTCTGAGAATACACGAAATTTACGAAACTTTTTGCAAGTTGCCATAAAATCTTACTATTCTAACTCAGAAAGCAATATTATCGCTGTTTTCAAATTAGTGCGACCCCCTGCATGTCACCCCCTAAGGAAATCGGTTTTCGCAAATGTGGAAAACCCGGAATTTTTCTGAATAACTTTGTAGAAAAGGTCCGATTGCTAGTGATTTCTGGAGGAAATCTCAGGAAATTTTCAATTATTCAAATAGTTTGCTTATAAGTGAGTGATAAAACTTTGTGTAACGTAAACACTTTTTTATAAGCAAACTACCTTTATAACTGAGAATTTCGCAAGATTTCCTCTGGAAATTGCTAATAATTGACCCTTTCCTACGTAGTTATTCAGGAAAATTCCGGGTTTTCGCAAATTTTTGGAAATCGATTTCCTTAGGGGGTGACACGCGGGGGTCGCACTAATTTGAAAACGGCGATAATAGTATTAAAACTTGTATCGACGAAAGTAAAATGAATTACTGTGAAACTATGCCTGGTAATATTAAGCAACATGTAATTTTAATTAAGTTTACTATAAATTTTTCTGCTAACTTGGCTTATTAATTTTAGGTTATTCAATGCACTGTGTTGGAAATTTACAAAAAATTGAACTTTACGTCCCTACTGATGTTGATCAATCAGAAATCCTATCTCAATCACGTATTGTCCCATTGAGCAAATTCATATATATATTAAAAGATCAAGCGAATGTCTTTGAAGTTACACCAAAAGTTATTCACATATTTTATGATAATAGTAAAAACTCAATTGCATTTAATCGTGATAGAGCGTTATTTTTTAATTTGAAATTTTATCTTGAATTACACGAACAAACATGTAAAAATAAACCAACGATTGACGCTATGACTTATTGGTTCACGATATATTGTCATGTATTGGCACATAACTTTATTCAACTTCATAATACCGAATTTGAAGTGAGTATAAAAAAATTTATTTTTATTTTTTTTAATATTTTTTTTTCATTAGTTTTATTATTCGTCATTCGCACAAGCTTATATGCCGGACTTGATTGAATTAACGAAAAAACGTGAAGTCAAATCCAAAACTTTTAACATTGAAATCTTTTGGAAAAATTTTAACCGAATTTTAAACCGAAATTAAAAGCAAAATCGAGTGTTAAGTTATTTACACAATAAATATTCCAACGAAAGTATCAATTAAATTTTTCGAATTTTCACGTTTTTTTTTTTAGCCTATTATTTTATGATTTTTGTAGTTTTTATATAAATATACAGTACAGAGTATACTTTTATATAAGTATTTTCTAAATATTTTATTTTCCATTAAAATGTATATTTTACTTTTTTATTTTTCTTTTATTTGATTGAATAAATATTCATATAAATTTCAATGGTTACTGAAATTTTTCTGACGGTATTTGAATTTAATATTTTTATATGAAGCTGTAGATAAAGATCATCCTAAAATTATTGTTTTTCACGGATATGTGTATTGACGTCAGGGAACTTTCTGTGGTTGCATGTCTGAAGTGTGTGTTAGGACTGTTTAGTGTTTTGATCCGGATAAAATCTTAAATATTTTAAATGAGATTATTGCCGAAAAAAGATTGTAAATCTCAGTTCTGAATAGACTATAATTTCGACCAGAATATTTAGTATATTATGAATCAAAAAATTGGTAATTCTGATAGTTCCATCCTGAATTAACCGAAACGGATACCGGATAAAAACCGGATAAAACCGCTTCGGATCCAAACACTAGGACTGTTAGGTAGACCCGCATCACAAAATTCTGATCGCGTGATACAACCAATCAGATCATCGCATCGCACTGATAAAAAAAAATGAGAAAAATAAAAGAAAAAAGGCAATATTATATTATAATGAAAATATTTTATTACTTTTATAATAAGGACACCTAAAATAGTTCTTTGCACATATTAAATTTAAGATATTTTAATTTTTACCCATTATAACGTTTCACAAATAAATATCACTTGACTTACCCACATCATCTCACATTCCTTGTAGAGAAAATTGTTCTTTTGACAACTTCATTATAATAATACAAATTTTTATTTATTTACTTGCAATTGTTAGTACAGTCATAGATGATATGCAATTCGGCGGATAACAGTTTTTATCTTTTTTTTGTTATATTGACTACATCCCTTTTTGATTTTTGCGGGAATTTTATTGATTATTATTACATATTACAACTGTTACTATTCTTTTTTTTCATACTAATTTTTTTTCTTTTTAGAAGGTTCTTTTCCAACGCTCGTTTTTCTGAGAAAAAAAATCCTTTGCTTGCTACTATTTATTTTCTTATACTACATCGGATTTGATGAACAAAAACATGCTTATACAAAATAAGACTTGTACATATATACATAAAAAAGAATACTTGTATGTATACATACATCAAGTAAAAAGTTTTTTTTTTCATTAGATGGGAAATAAATAAATTAAAATAACAAATAAAATATAATATAATATTGATTATTTATACGTGTTACTTATGATAAGAATATCTATTTTATTAAATATTTTTACTGCGGGTTCATGCACCCAGAAAAAGTGATCTAAACTTAAATGAAAATATAAACGAACCAGGTTTATTCTTCGGGTTTTTATTAAAAGAAACACAAAAAAGAATTTTGTTTTTTTCAAATAAAATAAAATGAAAATGAAAATACACACAAGTGAACAGCAATAACGTGGCTATGTCGATTTAAAAATTTTTTTACGTAAAAATTTAAAAAGTGACTCTTACCTTAATAAAAAAAATATATATTTATTTATTATATACACAGTGAAATTCGATAAACCGGATCTTCGATAAACCGGATTTGGGCCTAAACCGGATTTTTTTGCTGGAACCAAATCACGTATATTAAAATAGTTTCGATATACCGGAGTTTACTAGTAAAAGCTCGATATTCGATAAAACGGATCAATTTTCTAACCAGCTATAGTAAAAATGATTCGATAAACCGGGTCACGTGATCATTAACCAATAAAATTTAAGTAACGTGATGCGGTAAATCTTAATTTTGGCCAGAATTATAAAAATCTTATTTCGGCCAAAGTTATATATTACTTATATATTCAATTAAAATATTTTATATTTATTTTCATGACCTCTATGACTAAAAACTAAGATAAAAAATTAAAATATAATGTGTATTAATTTTATTAGCATGAATTTTTCAAAAAAATTCAGTATAATAGATTTTTAATATATTCGCTATACCGGATATCCTGATAAACCGGATATTTTTAGTGGAACCGATAGATCCGGTTTATCGAATTTCACTGTGTAGTATAAAACAAATAATGAAAAAAGGAGATCCTAAGTATTAAAATATGTACAATAGTCAATAAGTGTCATTTTTTAAAAAGTGTCACTTAAAATAAAAAAAATTTTTTTTTTGGTCGTAGATCAATATTTAAAATATTTTTAATTTTCATGATTGTCACTTTACACTTGTATACCCTATTCTATTTTGCACAACGTACTGTACTTCGCCACTCATAATGTATACCCTAGGTATTAAAATATATACAATATGCGCCATTTAAAAAAAAAGTGTCATGATAAATAATAATTAATTTTTTTGGTCGTAAAAAATTTTAAATATTAATATATAAGTTTAATTTATTTATAGCTATTAATTATACTAATTATTTAAATTATTTTTTGGCTGGATATATTTTTTCTAACTAAAAAAATCATGCGAACCATATTTATTCAAATAAAAAAAAAAAATGATTATACTACAGCAATGAACCCTAAATGAAAAAAAAATTATTATTTAAAAATAAGAATCAGAAAATAAAGGTGAAAAAATAAAAAACTTGGAAAAAATTTTTTCGGTAAAAAAAAAAAAATCAATCCGAAAAAAAAGAAAAAAAATTTCGGTTTTAGAATACCAAACCTAAATGGGAAGTTGAAAAATTAAAAAAATTTTTAGGCTTTAAAAAAAAAATCAAACTGAAAAAAAGAAAAGCAAACCGAAAAAAGTAAGTTTGAAAAAAATAGAAAAAAAAATTTGAAAAAAAATTTTCAGTTTGGAAAAAGAACCAAACCAAAAAAAGGTCTCTTTCAAAGAAAACCTCGAAAAAAAATTTTGGAATGGCCAAAATGGGCAAGTTAATAAGAAAACTTTTGTCGATTTTTATTAACTGAATATATCAGGCGCAGACATATCACGTTTTTCTGTGTACATAATTCATCGAACCATCTATCATCGAAGTGGGTAATTATATATAGAATAGCTTTAGATTCCCCTTAAATAGTAAAATTATAAAAAGATTTTATGAACTATAGTAAAACCATAGTTAGTAATTATCGTGGAAAATATAGAATAGTTTACTATTAACTTTGTTAATACATCCATAATTGATATGGAGTTAGTAGGTAGTATTTTATACTATGATTTGCTTCTGTCTAACTTATTAATTGTGCTACGCAATAATAAATTTAATAAAGAATGCATATTACTAACGAAAAAAAAAAAAATCGATCGGTCTTACAGGTAGACTAAAAGAAAAAAAAAGTAATTAAAAAAAATTACAGCTGATTTCACAAAGGTCGGAACACAGCAATTTTAAAGAACTTGGAAATATTCGGTAAAGCTTGATATAAAATTGTAAAAATTATACGAATGGTGGTATAATTTTACCTTATTTTGAGTTTACCAAATATTTCCGAGTTCTTTAAAATTTGCTAAGTGTCCAACCTTTTTGAAATCAGCTGTAAATATAGAATTTGCGAAAAATAATCAGCTGATGATCACATGCGCAAATATAATTTTTGCTTAGTTTCAGAGCTCACGAGCGGCTTATAGCTCGTGAGTCAGCTCGAACAAGCCAAGCTCAATTGATTGCGAGCCGCAGATCGGCTCGGATCAATATACCTGGCTCGTGAGCTGGCTCGAGCTGGCTCGGCTCATGTCTATGAAATCGACAGCGGATGTATATGAGCGATCGCTCATAGTAGAGTGCGAGGTGGTTTCCAGAGGAGGAGTCTTTCGGAAGTAAACATTCAGATCATTGATGATTGCTTGGTCTTTTTGTGAAATGATATAGTGTGATTGCGCGTTTACTATGGGAGTAACATTTTCCATAGTTTATGATCGTTTTCGATTAATATTATACGTGCGAAACGTTTTTAATTTTTTAATTTATCGAAAAAAAAAACGTTTTTCGTAACAGTTTTTTCGTTAAATTAAAAAATAAAAACGTTGTTATGATAATAGATACGTGGACCGACTGGTGTATCAGGTGGTAAAGGCGGTAATTTTTTCTAGTTCTTGTTACGTTTCTTTATTCGTCGGACCAATTTTTCCACCGATGTTGCATTTTTTTGTAGTCAGGATCTAATGATCTCCAATTATCTGAAGGATGATGCGCATCCACGTACGGGAGGTGATGCAATTGTTTGAAGACTATGGGATTGGGAAGTCCCAGTCCTGGTTCTGTTAAGATGAAGGGTTTCGTTTTGTATTCATTCCTGTTTGAGCAAACCCTTGGTAAGATGATTCCATCGTTGAATCTGCTGAGGTGAACGAATGACATCGAAACGTAAGTGAAAATATTCCTTGTAGTAAACACGTTCCATAATTTTGTTGTCTGCGTCTCATATTTCTTTCTCCATTTTTGGTTTAAGTTTAGGATTTTTGGTCCTAAACTCTTATTATATTTGCGTAGCGTAACGGTATATGTAGTGCTGAGGCGGTTTGAATCTACTGTTTTAATATTCTCACGATTTTTGAGAGCTTTTTTTTGATAATTTTTGTTTCACTTGATTTTTATGAAAATCCGGTTCCCGTTTGAAAAACCTAGGCATCACGGGCAAGGTCATCCTCAGGTTGGTCAACATCAGATAAGGTAAAATGACATTTGACATCGCCAGCTAGTGGCGAGCTCCCATTCTGAAAAAAACTTACCATCAGAACCTACTCAAAAATAATAAAAAGAAACATTAATACGTTTCTTAAAGTTTATTTCGAAACCATAACTTGTCAGCTTTTTTTCGAATGAAATTTTTTTTAGTTTATTAAGAACTTTTTGGAGTTTTTACGAAAAATCATTTTTGTAAAAAGAGGTTTTCTTGCGATAAAAAATACTAAAGTG